CCAGAGCTTGGCAGCTGCTGGGGGGCAGCTTCCACCCCATGGAGCACTTGGTGACTGGCCCCCAGCCCCTCCACTGGGGTGGTTGCAGGGCACCTGTCTTGTTATGGGCACAGCCTAAAACTAATAGCAGGGCTGTGCAGAACAATATGTAACTCAACAGACACAGGCGAGTGTCCTGGCAAATACTTAGTGGATTGTTCCACCAGTTAACTCTCCAAGAAAGGAACTAAGAGCCAATTCAGTGCTTTCCAAATCAAAGCTCTTAAAAAAATTAACATAGAGCACAGCTCTTCTTCTTGGCAGCTGTCCAGTTATTAATTTCAGTGTATCAGCTGCATCTGAAAGGGCTTGGGCTTCTGCCCACTATTTCTATTTATTTGTTTTCCATTCATCTCCACTAAAATTAAAACTCAAAACCTTCTAGAGAGAAAGGAAAACAAACATGCTGAACCAGTACTGCTGCCCATATAGAGCTGGCAGAAATCACTGCACTTTTTCCTCCTCTGCCATGAGGTCAGATCTAACACTTAAGACTCTCTGGGCCTCTCACCTAAAAAACAGTGCAGGCACCTATGGCACTAGCTGCAGCCTTGAGTTCTCTTTGCTTTCTGGGTACGTCGGTAAGCAGCAGCCTTTGGCCCTCGACTGTAGGTTTTTACTGTGTACCAGGTCACAGTGTCTGCAGGGGCCCTGTGCTGCTGACCTTTCAGGATTAAACAGCATCTGCATGGTTTAAGCAGACAGAGCTGATGGTCCAGATGGTCACACTGAGACTACAATCCCATAGAACAGTTTGGACTGCGCCCATGTTACAATGCTCTGCGTTGGCTGTGGAAAGAACTGCATGCTTTTAAAGGGAAACGGCAGCCCAAGGGAGCGCTGGCAACCAGGAGCGCTGCCAACAGAGTGGGCAGACATGATGTGGGGTGGCAGTTTGCACCTGGGAAAACTACAGGCCAGTCAGTCTCACCTCTGTGCCCTGCAAGATCATGGAGCAGATCCTCCTGGACACTATGCTAAGACACATGGAAAATCAGGTGGTGATTGGTGACAGCCAGCATGTCTTCACTAAGGGCAAATCGTGCCTGACGAATTCGGTGGCCTTCTACAACGGGGTTAAAACATTGGTGGATAAGGGAAGAGCAACTGATGTCATCTACCTGGACTTGTGCAAAGCATTTGACGCTGTCTCACCTGACATCCTTGTCTCTAAATTGGAGAGACATGGATTTGATGGATGGACCACTCGGTGGGTAAGGAACTGGCTGGATGGTTGCAATCAAAATGTTGTGGTCAACAGCTCAATGTCCAAGTGGAGACCAGTGACCAATGACATTCCTCAGGGGTCGGTATTGGGACCGGAGCTGTTTAACATCTTTGTCAGTGACATGGACAGCGGGATTGAGCGCACCCTCAGCAAGTTTGCTGACAACACCAAGCTGTGTGGTGCAGTTGACACGCTGGAGGGAAGGGATGCCATCCAGAGGGACCTGGACAAGCTTGAGAGCTGGGCCCGTGCGAACCTCATGAAGTTCAACAAGGCCAAGTGCAAGGTCCTGCAGCTGGGTCGGGGAAATCCCAAGCACAAATACAGGCTGGGTGGAGAAAGGATGGAGAGCAGCCCTGAGGAGAAGGACTTGGGGGTGCTGGTTGATGAGAAGCTCAACATGACCCAGCAATGTGCGCTTGCAGCCCAGAAAGCCAACCGTATCCTGGGCTGCATGAAAAGGAGCGTGAGAGAGTAGGGCTTGTTCAGCCTGGAGAAGAGAAGGCTCTGGGGTGACCTTATAGCAGCCTTCCAGTACCTAAAGGGGCCTACAAGAAAGCTGGAGGGGGACTTTTTACAAGGGCGTGTAGTGATAGGACAAGGGGTAATGGCTTTAAACTGGAAAAGGGAAGTTTTAGATTAGGTATAAGGAAGAAATTCTTCCCGGTGAGGGTGGTGAGGGACTGGCATAGGTTGCCCAGAGAAGCTGTCGACAATCCAGATAATCCAAGAATATTGGCATTTTTTTCCTCCCTTTGGTTTTTCCCTTGTTGCTGTCAAAAGGCTGGTGGAGGTTCCTCAGGCCAAGCTTTGCCTGTGCTAACTGGAGTTAGCTGTTCCACCCTGCTGTAAGCACTCAGCGTGCCTAGTGCTTGCTTGACTTCTTATTGGTGTCTTGGCTTGATCTGAACCCATCTTTATCTCAAAGCACATCACCTGATAAAATTTTTTGCTATAAAATTCCAGGCTTTCACAATGGCCTGATTCTTTATGCATCTGAGTGTGAATAAGAACTGAAAAGCCAAAGGTTACGAACTTACTTTTAAGGTGATAGAAATTATAAAATACCCTCATTTACAACTACAGTATTTAAATCCTATTTGCAACAGCACAATCAATAGGATCTAACTGTTGACGTACAGGAAGAGATTCTTAATAAGGTAAGTAAAATACTCTAAAATAAGGCTTTGGTCTTTTTCAATGCTTTGTCTTACAATTCAAATGTTTTGCTTCTTTAAAAACACACGCAAGTGAATACACAGTGCAAGCTGAGTCTAGTTGAGTATGAAATTCTTCTACCTGTTACCTAAAAGGATTTCCTTCCACCAATAAAGAGAGTTCTCAGTTCTGCATTTACGGCATCATCAGCAATGACATCATCCTCCACAAACTCATCTCCAAGCTTCTTCCACCATGGCCAGTGAGTGTATTTCAGCATAGTGTTGTGGGATTGTCTTGCCTTGGTAGCTACAGGGACTGATCGACTCATAAAGACAGCAAGATCTTTTTCTGTGATCTCTGTGAACCCTGGCGCATCTGTAAGAACAAGGAGAAGAGTTTTCTGTATTTTGTTTGCGGTTTTACCAGTATTTAAAAACAAAAAAAGAAGGAGCACTGCCCTCCTACTTCCCACTGTCCTACGTCACTCCTTTCCCCTTGCTGGCATTACGATTTCATGGCTGCATGATAAACCTGATTGGAGAAGTGATCCAAATTAAGGCTAATCTGAAAAAAACAAATACATAATGGGGGAGGGAGGAGAAGGGGGTAAAGCAGGACTACTTCATTCAGGTGCAGTGGTGGCATCCACCAAAATGACTTCTTGTGAAACTTATGACCTAAGAGAAAGAGGAGCTCCTGGTTGCTGCTGCTGGATAAGCGCTCCTGTCACAGGGTGACATCAGCGTAGTGTTTGCACTACTCTGGCACAGCAGCACTGTGTATTCCCTGCCTGGGGGACTCAGCCCAGTGTAAGAATGTATTGCTGATTTGCCTGTTCAGAGAGAGATGAGCTGCAGTGACACAGCATGTGACAGACTAAATAATGGAATTCAGTAATTTGCTGAATTTTGCCTGGCTTGGGTGCTCTCTGGTGGCTGCAGTTTGCTACTCGCTCTCTTTCACTCTAGGCTACTTGTCTGGAATTAAGATAGCGCAATAGTGAATTCCGTTTCAAATAAAGCCAGGCCAGAGAAAACGAAAACGTGACTCGGAATTCATACCTCAAAGATTTCCCTCTTTAGCTGGAAGACGTGAGAGCACTTCAACCAGCAGCTTGCTTACAACACAAGAAAACAGAACAAAGCAAAACAAATGTAGAGGAAGAGGTTGTGTGAGATCCCTTTCTTAGAAATTTTAATGCCTTTTACAAGGCCATTGCTTTTCTTGTGAACAAATCAGAGAGACTTTTAGCAGAAGAATAAGATGCTCCGTGAAAAGCAGGTGTGTGTACTTAACCTATAGTAACACCTGGATAATCTCTAACAAAGTCTGAATCTCAAGATAAGGCATATAGCAAAGGAAGAAAGATATTTCGGTTTTGAAATGAGGCTTTACCACTGTTCCTTCTAATTTTCTCTCTAAATTAGTTTAATCCAAATGGTAATCAAAACTATGGCCAGCGCAGTCACATACTCATTAGCAGCTCCACATCGGTGTTGACCTGAGCCAGTAACATCTCTCTCCGCTGCGCTGCTCTCTCATCCAGTTTGCTCCTCAACAGGAACTGTGCTAGCTTTTCCTGGGCCTGCATATGTAATTCTTTACTCCTTTCTTCTGACATTTGGGAAGCCTGGAGCAAAGGAACAGTTTATTACCATTAGAAGCTGGTTATTTAAAATCTTTTCGGGGCAGAATAATGTCTAAACAAGGAATGCAAATGCTGTTCTTAATTGTTAACTTGATTTTGCTTCCTCTGCAGCTCTCTCCAAAGCTATCCATCATCAAGTATATAAATTTTCCAGTTACAGTTTGCTTTGACCCTTTTTATTAGATTAATGGTTAAAATCCCCAATATCCTAGTGCCTTGCTGTCAAACATGCAGGGTTAATATATGCATACCTCACACATATTATCTTCATCAGAATTTATGAAGCTGAATATATTTCATCCCTACAGTATTTCATGTTGCATCATTAATGCGAATTATGAAATGACTAAGAAACACACCGGATGCAATTTGATGTAGTCATCCACCTTCTGCTGCAAAGCAAGTCTCTGCTCATCAGTCAGTCCCTTGGGATCTTTCCAAGGACGGAGAGCTCTCCTCCGTCTTCGTTTTTCCAAGAATTTACAAGCCTTTGTAAAGAATATGACAATCACAGACAGGAAGTTTGTCTTCTCGCTTTGTTTGTAATCAATCAGTGAAAGAAAAATGTTTCAGTACTGCATCTGTTAAAGCATAAATTCAGCTATGATGCTGAAAAGACAACATACAATGGTCAGCATGAATACTAAATAGTAAGTAAGAACACTCATAATAAATTACTGACTCATCTGCAGTATGGTGAAATTCCAGCCTTAGGTTTCAAAGTGGCAGCTCTTGTATTTTAGTTACAAGACTCTATTAGGCTTTGTAACCTATGCAAGGTTTAACCTGTCTAAGCAACTTGTGGCTCTAGACTATCATCCTCTGAATAATTTTTTAATAAATTACGGCTACATCAACAGTAAGAGAATAAACAGAGCTTTTTGAGGCATCACAGTAATCCACTCAGTCCTATCTAACGTTAGAACAAACTATGTGTACTTACTGCTCTCTGAATGACGATAGCTGCTTTATGCTCCTTAAGAGATTGTCTCTGTTGATGAAAATTTCTTCTTGCTTTATACCCTCGCCAGAATCTCTGGATAGTTAATGCTGATTTCCCCTCCATTTCCTCCATGTACTTATTTACCTGACCTACAAATGTAACAAAAATCCAGCTATAAGACTGTGGGTTGGGATCTCTTAACAGTTCCTATTTTTAATCCTCAAACTAGATAGAGCCAAAAAAGCTTGGCTGCTATCAGTTAAAAACCCCTCTTCATCCAAGGTTCGGTAGCTGTGGGTCACGTCTCAGAGACTTGTAGTTCCAATGGAGCTGTGTAACAGAAGCAAACTGGGTCTCCCTTTCTCCTGCACGATTTTGAAGGCAGCAGATCTTGACCAGTAGTTACTAAGCCCTTGTAGAATTTGCACGTTCTCTGTCAGATCATTGGGTCAGGAGAAAAGACAATAAGACTACAGTGCAAATAGACATGCAAGATTAGGAAATACATTTAGGGAAACTGTTCTGAAGGAGATCCAGACAACTTAATCTTGTGATATAGTTTAATATAAATCATACTGGCATGGACTATTTCCAGTAAGGCCAGCTGTCGTTCATGGAAGAGTCTCATGGCCCTCTGTCTCTGGAGTTGCATCTGCAGTTTTAGAGCCTCATCTTCCTTCTTTTCTTGTAAATGCTGCAGCTCCTGTTCCCGTTTAGTTCTGCAATACACAAATACATTAACAGTTAGCTTAAGTTGTACATTTCCTAAAAGCACCTTTCTTTCTCTTTGTGTTAAATGGTCCAGCATCAAGGGAGGAAATCCGCAAAATAATCTGCCATCCCAGCTGCTGGCTGCAGGACCACACCAAACAATGAGAAATCACCGGCATGCTAACAAATTACCACACTATCTATAGCCATGAAAAATTCTGAGTCAGTCACTCAATCTGGTATCAAATCAAAGGATCTATTTTTACTTAGGATAAAGTTCTAAGGACCCTGAAGGGAATGATGCTCCATGGGGGACATTGACAGCCAGCATGAACTAGACCAACAATTTTGATTCCATCATGTGGGGAAGAGGTAAAGCAACATTAGCCATCTGCTCCAGTATGCACCTTTTTCAGTGCATCCGTCAGCATGCATGGCACCTGCTTTCTGTAACACATACTATTATTTTTGTACTGACTGCAAGAGTACATCAGAATGTTGGCTGTTAAGGCTCACTTCTTAAATTTGGAGGGATTTTTTTTCTCCAGGAAATACAGACTGACACATTCTCTCCATCAACTTTGTTAGCAGAACGCTAGGAAATAATTTTCTTGCAAATTCTTCCTGATCTATACTAGTTGTTGTAATTTGATGTTAGGATGTTGCCCTGCTGTGCCTGACATTGGAAAAGCCCTGGCAAATGTTTCACAGATGAGACAACTGAAAACTCTGTAACTGGCCCTGGAGTACTTAAGCTAATAATACCCTGTATATCAATTATATATACACTAACATATTCATATAGAGACTAATATATTAATACTAAATGTACTGATGCATTGATACTAATAATTACTGAGGCCACTTCGACATGGTCTCAGGGAAGCATGAGGAGCTGTGAGCTAGGACTCCCCCTCCCTTCACTACCCCTTCTTGTCCCAAAGGACCTGACCTCATTAGCAGCTTATCACTTGAGATTTTACCGCACAATGAGGTAATGATGTGACTCCTCCTCTTCTCCTATTGCAGCAAAATCACTTGCCCACTCAGGTCCTGAGCAGCCCCACTGAGCCCACAGCCCTGAGTTCTGCTCTCCTCTAGCACTTTTCCAAGGACAATGAAAGGAGCACCTGAAGCACCAGGAAAGAGAACAAATGGGCAGAGCACATGCCTAAGGGGTGCCAGAAAGGGGAAAAGAAGGCCGTAGACTAGAACTAATGTCCAATTTTGGTATTGCTGCACGTCACATACCTTTGGACTTACAGTACTATTGAGTTATTTGTGTGTTTCCCATGCTAGTATAGAGTTGTAATTTTTCCACCAATCGTGCTTTCTCCTCAGTCTCTGTAAATGGGCGTGGAAAGATGGGATGGAAGCTATTGTGTAAAAGAGATGCTCTGGATTTAAAGATCTGGCCCTAACGGATAAAACAGCCTCCACCACAATCTGAGAGAGCATAATCCTTTTATGACAGTAATGCAGACTTGAAGCGTGCCCACACATCTACCTACAGAGACAGATAATGACATATGTGATTACATCAGAATTGACCAGAGGTTTTCAGTCCACATGTATCTGTGAATTAGAGCTGTAAATCTTTGCATTTTTAATCCAGACAGGCACATATTATACTTCTAAGTGGAATGATGTCAGAGGATCAAACAAGACTTTTGATGACATTTTCTTGATAAAATTATTCATAATTTTTCCTAGAAATTTTTATCAGCTCTGCTAGGTGGAAAACTACAAGAATGTTTCATGAACTTCTCAGATGTGCACCTGTGAAACTACCAATAGTGTCTGGCAGGTATTTAAATGTTTCTTTGATACTGATTTTTTCCCATGTAGTCTGCAAAACACATACTCATCTTCATTCTCTGTTCCTCCTAATGAGAAGACTTATTTGCACAAGACCACACTGTGACAGGAAAATGCCTCTGAACAGAAGTAAAACACACACGGAGTAAGATCCAAGCTTCCTTTGGCAGTTCATGGCACAGATCAGCCTCCCTCTGATCATCTCCTTATATAAATAAAATGGTTTGATTTTTGATGCATGATTAATAAAAATTATTGCCATTTCAACAGTTCTACAAGTAGCTATATAACAGTGAACTAACTTCAAGGACAGATTACAGGCTTTAATATTCACTGAGGAGACATTTCTGAAACCACAGAGCTTCAGAAGTTTGTAACTTGCAGAGTTTAAGATCTTTCACTGCAGCTGCAGGTGAGCCAAGTTTGGAGTTTCAACCTCAGCAGTATTTAACCACACTTATTCTAAAATAAATCTGTGAATATAACCAAACCCTGACTGTTAAAAATTAAAAACTCCTCTTGAAAGCTTTTCTGAAGTCATGCTTATGGTATTCCAAACACCACTTTTCAGCGTGATACTAACTGCAGCTTTGACCTAGACAGAAAAAAAAAAAAACCACAACACTGGAGCTGTACAGTTACTATATTTACTCAGTACATTGGGACTAAGCCACGCACACGCAACTGTAAGGATTATTAATACACTTCCGTTCCTCTCAATACTAAGCAAACACATTCAAAAGTCCATTTAAATGACTCAAGAACTACTAAAGAGGAACGCACTAATGCTTACAATACTGAAAATATGACACAAGAAAGTCAGATAGCTTGTTGACTGCCAATAGCCCTGCAACTCTTTACCTTTTGCTTTACCATGTTTTGACTTAGCCCATCATCCACATTATCTGGACTATGATTTTGGCTTGCAGGCTTGCAAGGTGCCTGATGAGGGCAGGAATGTTGGCTCAAGGTGTGTGGTGGAGTAAAAAGGAGTGACAAGGATATCATTCTTGGTGTTTCAGCCCAAAAGTGGAAGTGGCTAGGGGCCCTCAATAGACACACTGCTTGCCCCTGCAAATCTTCCAAAATTTAGAGATTGCATCCTAGATAGTCTAGTATCTTCTTAATGCCAGTCTAGAAGCCAAATTGTAACCATCCGCTTTCTAACACCTTGAGCATAATACAATGTGATTTGACTGATGGATTTCTAAGATCTAGTTTTGACACGGTAATGCTCAACATGTGCAAAAAAAGGCTGAAAAAACCGGCTGTGGAGTCTGAACTTGATTTAGATCCCTTAACCTATGTTAAATTTCACAAAAGAGTTAGCCTCACATGTGCTAACATTACTGCTGAAATTCTACTTCAAGTAAGACAAGCATTATTTATGCAGCTTCATTCTTCTGTGCTGCTCCAAGGCAGAGGATACTATTTCTAGGTCATTGAAGTGACTCCACTTTTGAGAGTCAAAGACTTCAAATATTAATGAAGAACAAAGTCTTGCAAGCACTATACTGAGCAAACACTATGAGTCTTGGTTTCTGCAGCACTGGCATGGTAGATTGGAAACTCCAAGACAGTTCCACATTCAATTTACAGTGCAATTTTGTGTCAAGTTAACTGTGAACCAGTTCATTGTTCTACCACCAGTACATCATATTCTAGTGCTATTTAGTGCAACCCCATCCTACAGTGTGCCATACTTTTAGTTTTCCATATGCCATACATTTTCACACAGAAAACATACAAAAGCATCATAGCAGTAAGTTTTTTCATGGAGAAGTCTGGCAGCTGGGAAAGGGACAGTTGGAGCTTTTGGCACCAGAAGTGGCAGTTTGGCACTGCTGGAAAAGCACACTGTTTGGATGTTTCTGCTAAAAGAATCTGTAGTGAAACAGCTCGTATTGGCATTACATTACCAGAAATAACAGCTGACTGGAAAAAGGCATCTTCAAGATGAAGGAACCTTTGGTCAGCCCAAACTTATGCCCTGGGACGTGAGAACAAATCCTAGGGAAGCTATTTCCAGGAAAGGCAGGAAGGTGAACGGGAATAGCCAACATAGATTTATCGCAGGCAAATCATGTTTGACCAGCCTGATTGCCTTCTGTGATGAGATGACTGGCTCTGTGGACAAGCGGAGAACAGTGGATGTCATTTTCCTTGACTTTATCAAGGCTGTCATCACAGTCTCCCATGCAGGGCAGGGCTGACACTCAAGAGGAATCTCCACAAACACAGAAAATGGGTCATCAGAAACAACAGGAAATTTAGATGGGAAGTTTTTCACCTGGTACAAAATCACCTCATGAACCAGTACAGCTTGGGCACTGACTACCTGGACAGCAGCTCCCATAAAAAGGACCTGGGGTTCCTGCTGGGTGACAAGTTGAACACGAGACAGTAGTGTGTCCTTGCAGTAACAAAGGCTAGCTGTGCAGTGGGCTGCACTAGCAAAAGCAGAGGCAGCAGGTCAAAGAAGATTATTATTTTGCTTTACTCAGCACTCTTGAGGGCACACTTGGAATATTGGCCACACTCTACTGGGCCCCCCAGTAGAAGACAGATATTGACAAACTGGAGGGATAGAGACTGTCCAAACAGAGGCAATTAGGGCTACGTAACGTATGATATACAAGGACAGGTGACAAGGTGCATTTGTTTAGCCTAAAGGAAGGGAAATCTAATTTCTGTCTTCCACTTCTACTTCTGTCTTCCACTAAAGGAAGCGTTATAGAGCCAGACTCTTAGAGGTGCACAGAAAAAGGACAAGAGGCAGTGGTAAAGAGCTGCAACAAGGAAATTCCCACTGACTGTAATAGAAGAATTCTTCACAAGTCAAGTCATTCAGCACCAGGACAGGGTCCAAGTAAGATGGTGAGATCTCCATCCTTGGAGACCTCCAGAACTGCATACGGCCCTGAGTAGCCGGATCCCATTTTGAGGTTGGCCCTACTTCAAACAGGACACCGAATTAGATGACCTAAACTTTTCCAGTCATTCTGTGACCTGAGAAAAACCAAACCAAACCTTCTTAACAGATTCTTCTCTTTAGTGCTTTTTACAAAGCCATATTGTTTACCTGAAGCTTCTCTGTAAAGTGGTGACTGCTTGGGGTAGTTTTTTCAGCCTTTTCCTTGTCTGAAATCCTCTCCACATAGCCTGGATTACACAAGCTGCTTGATGCTGCCTCTGAAATTAATAAAGCAGTTGGTAGAATATTTTCTCTGCATATAAAAACACTTTATTACTGCTGGCATATTTGGAACAATCTCAACATTTGGTCAAAACCCACCAGTTTTCAAATGCATCAAAATTCAGTATTTGTAACAGCTTGGGGAATTTAAGGTCTTATAAGATAGCTATTATCATGAAGCCTGTACTTGCTCCAAAGGCAGCTAATCTGATCATCTGGATTGATGCTCTCTGTGGAAAACAAATGAATCTACAGCACATATATATATATTATATATTAGCTGCATTAATCAATGTTACAAATTCATATTTAAAACACCTGAAGCACTTGATATTTCAAATGGTGATTCAATCAAAATACCTACACTAGAGAGGACAGAAAGACAAGTTTGGAGAATTAGGAGCAGGAAAAATGTTACATTTGCAGTATGATTAGAAGTCACTGAAATGCAACAAAAATTTTTAAAAAAATCAATTATAGTCTTCAATGGATTTAAAACAAAACAAAACCAAACCAAAAAAACCCAAACACAAAACACCCTGCTCTGTTGAAGAGGAAAGCAGGTCTCTACAAACATAACTCTGATTTCCTTTAAAGTATTGTCTCTGAGAAACCTGCATGTAAAATGTTGTTAAGCATTCATAAAATGCACATAGTCTCTTTTATTGGGAACAGAGCCCAGGTGTTCTTACTGAACATTTTCTCTATATGACTTAATTCTATGTGAATGCTGCCTAGAATTCAGAGATCTAAATTTGTAACACTGATGTAAGAAAAGCAGATACAGTTATTTTTGTTTTACAGTTATCAAAACAAAATTAACTTTCCCCTACAGTGGTATAGAGATCTATGGTGAATCTACAACAGAAAGTCAGTCTCTCAAGTCACAGTCCCATACCTTAACCACTGGACAATTTCTTGATGTCTTCAGAAATGACGGAGGGAAAAAAATTAGTAAGAAATTAAAAAAAAATCTATTAATATAGTGAAAAAATAACACAGGCTTTGAAAAGCATCACCAAAGTGATAGAATAAATCCATTCTAAACATATATAAATCACATGTCACTAGGATTTCACATACAAGTATCTTTAAACTTCAGCACCTGCATTTCTCCTTTTCCACTGGATTGTTCCAAGTATAGCAGGTCCAAGAGTTGACTGAGATCCCTGTCAAATCCTTTGCCAGTCCACTGCCTACTTAAAAGCTCTTTTAATCCTGAGGGAGAGAGAAGCAGCATGTGATATGACTAAGGAGAATTTTTCTTTTCAGAATTTCAAACTAACAATTTTCAAGTCAAAAAATCAAATCTGATTCTACGTGCAAAGGAACACTAGAACTGAACATGTTCAGTCATCTTTGAGTTTCAACGCACAATATTATCAATGAATATCTGGTGCTTCAGCCATCACAAAGAAGTATTGTACAGTGATTGTAATTCTGTATGTCCAAGTCACTATCTATTGTGTCTACATAAGCGGCGGTCAAATTATCAATGTACTTTCGGTGTCTTATCAGTAAGTCACTGTAAAGAACTAAGAGCACCATGCAAGTGCTAGGTTTTATTAGCACTGCTTTCATATTTTTCATAATAAAATTTATTAATTTATAACTAGAATTCTTTGATACCTTATCTGTATAGCATAGTCTAACTGTGAGTACATGTGCATCCAGTCCCTGAGACAAAATGGCTTTTTAGGTTCACAGTAGATAAAAAGCACACTTGTGCTCCCCCTACAACACACACACTCCCTGTGCTGTGCACAGGACACAAGTAGGCAGCAACACATGTTTTTTAGCTTTGTATCAGACAAATCCCAGAGCTTGAGAGTTCTGCAGGGAGTTGGAGGGAGAAGGAAGGAGGGCAAGAGGTAGACAAGTGTTTGGATAACGACCTGAACAACTGCAGATTCGAGTAACTTTTCCATCTTCAAATCATTGTCCATAAGCATATTCATACACTGGGCAACTCCAACACTCATATACACTTACAGGATATGGATATGGAGCACAAAGTCCTTCATGCAAACAGAAATGGCACCTCTGTTCTATTGCACATGCATCATTTTGGAAAGACGATGACAGTTAAAACACTTCAGGAGAGAGACAGTCAAGACTCCAACTGTGGGTGTCCTAAGGCTGCCTGAGCTCTGAAAAAGCATGTAGCCTGGCTACACAAGGCAGTTCCCTCATTGTGGGTCTGATGCAACCATTTGCCAGTTTCTGTACAGACTACACAGAGCCATATGCACCTTTCAGCTACTGACAGGGAGTACCTCAAGTGTGCCTCTCAGATGTGTCAGCTCATGTAGACAAAAAGACCAGGCCCTCCTGGAAACCTGATGTAAAGACTGTGCTAGTGTTGGAGATGCGAGGTTCAGGCGATATCCTCACCTCTGGCAGGCTGCCTTTACTGAGAGAAAGCTTACACAGAAGAACCTCGTACTGGTAACAGCTCTGAGCCACTGTGAAGCCAAGTTACTTCAATGAGGTGGCCAGATGGTGGAAATGCTGTAATGCTTGCTTTGTTGCTGCTATTCCTCAAACTATCTAAAGGATTCCAAAGCCTAAGTGAAAACTAACATAAGGACTCTAACATTAAAAAAAATAGAGGAAAAAAGGGATTTTTTTTCTTTCTTAGTGGAAACAGAAAACACGTACAGAAGAGAGATGAAGAGTCTCTAAATGACTGTAGCATATTGTGATTCTAGAGCTAAATAAAGCATAATCTTTGATGGAGACTTGCACCTCTTTGGACAAGCCAGCATTCTACAGCTGGGATGATCAAACCATCACAGCAGCTTCACAAGAATCCACAATGTGATACCAGCCTTAGGTACATTATACTTATTTTCAGACCAAAAGGAAGGCCTCCTCTCTCAATTCTGTAGGTAAAAGGGTGGCAAAAGTTGCCCATCTGGTCCAGAACTTTTTCTGGCTGGTACTGCCTAATAAGTAGTCAGCACAAGCATAAAAAAAGGGAATTGGACCTTTTTGTCTAGCATATCCACTTCTTACTGTCCTTGTCCCCAAAGGACTAAGGCTCCTTACAAGTAGTTTTGACCATCAATAACATCCAGAATATATAAGACCTGGCAAACATCAAAGCCTCTTTCTTAGTCACCATGGGCATGACAGGGGACAAAGGGGTTTCCTGGAGCTCCCTGCTAGGCTAGAGACAGAAACATTAAATGGGACACCGAATTAAATAATGAGTAACAGAGTAAATTATATGCATACTCAGCCTCCTCATCTATAGGCATCAAGACAAAACAATAAACTCATTTAATGAATTCTTGGTAAGAGTTCATTCCAATTACTTGGATATCAAAAGTCAGTCAGCTCCTCAGTAACAGAACAGCACCTATCAGATAAGCAGACCAGTAACAACCAGGGTCAGGAGTTGGCTTTAAGTAAAATTTTCATGCTTCTGGATTAGTGAGCCTTAGCACACGGGCAGATGTCTGACACGCAGCTCTTACTGTGGCAGTACAGGCACCCTGCTACTAGGATCTCTCAATATCCAACCTACACAGGAAAAAAGATGCAGAACATCACACAGAAAAAACTAAAGCCCATCAGATTGGAAGTGGCAAACAACAGTTTTAAGAGACAAGTTGCCACATGCAGAGTCCTCAACACACAGAAGAAAATAAATCTAGGAAACAGAAAGAGGCGTGGCACCTTAAACGACAATGCAAAGGAACAGAAGGAAAAAACCACCCAACACAGCACTGCAGTTTCCATCTGTATTGGATAGTTATTGAACCAAGATGGGAAATCTCCATCTTTGTATTTTTACAGTGAATGTAAGGGGAGGCCGAGTGATTGGTTCCATGCATGTTTACGAACCTTTGTAGCGAGCTGCGAGTAACTTCACAAGCTGCTTGCAAAATTTTGCCACCAACAATAGCAGTTTTGTAGCAGCGCTTCCTACGGCAGGATTGGCGGTAGCTGAAAGCTTATAAACAAGTTCATCCAAAACAGAGTGAAGGGTCTCTTCATCAACCTCAAGCAAGACAGAACTTTAAAAAGAAAAGAAAAAAAAAAAAAAGGAGGAGGGACACACACAGAATTGAAGTGTTAATTACAAACTATGAGCTTTCTAACAGTGACTTCTGTTTAGATATGTTAGGCATTCAGCAAGCCAACATACCCAGCCAGCTGGACCAGGAATCTGATCCAGACAGTACTACTGTTTCAATCAACTGATTCCCATTCCCTCAATTTAACAACAAGATAAAAAAAATAGCTATTGTTTTCTATTTCTACAACAAAGTCTAGGAAAAAAAAATAATCCTACAACAATTCTTGTAGATGAAAAAATTCTATTTTACCAAGCAGTAATGAAAACGGAGTTTTAAATTAAAAATTCAGAAAAATCAGTATTATGAAAACAACTAACCTATTAACCCTCAAAATATTGTGTAAAATAGACATCATTATAATTGCTGTTTCAACATCATCTGTTATTAACAACCGCAGGAAGTGATCATTTTGCAGTACTGCAAAAAAACAAAAACAAGCAAACATACATCATACAATCAGAACCAGACTTGAAATACCATAAAACAAATAAACTTCATTATGAAACATAAGCCATAGCAAGTAAAACCAGATACTGTTTCTAGAACAAACTCCCTCTTTTATGATTTTTACACTGAAACTTACTGGAATAAGTAAACTACTTCAACATCCAAAAACCATGTTGAGCCCTGTTTTTTCTGCCTTTGGATATCCCTCAGGCACTGGTGTTGCAATGGAATAAAAGCTTTAAAACCTTTTACGTTACACTAGCACCAGTTTCTTATTACAATAGTGGAATTATCACTGAGGCAACAATATCTGGAAAAGATAAGGGCTTCAACCTTGACAGTTTGTTATACCAGGTTTATTTAATACAAGTCCACTGATGTTGTTAAAGCACCATATTTTTTATTCCAGTGTATCACTGTCTACATATTTAGTAATTTTTCTGGCTGTCTGTTTTTAAGGACACATCTTATGATCCTTAGGTTTTTGTCCTATAGTAGAAACAACCAAATTCTGCTTTTTAAAATCAGTGCGATTAACACTGGTTTAATTGAAAGATTATTTTGGTCAGAAGTGTATAATGAAGTTTGTTAGATATTTGTAAAATTTCCTGGCACGGCAACAACTTCTGTTTTCAACAAATCTGTTTTCAACTCAAGCCACTTTTCAGGGCCGACAATGCACTCTGGTCAAACTTCTGCATATGTTAATCACACACAGGTAAAACGATCAAATGTGCTTTATCAGAAAACAAATATCTGTTTTTTTAAAGGTATAGAATTACAAAGGGAAATTACAGGAAAACACTTCTAATGTTTGTCTCTGAAAGACTAGAAGGGAAGCATTTCCCTTTTAGGTTAGCTTAAGAGTGCTTCTTGATACCTGTAGTTGCTATAAATTTTCAGGTGTTTTATGGATTTACTTTTCCCTTACCGCACGTTGCTAGTTGAATATGCCCACCGAACAGCCAGCAGATGGCATCAGCTACTGTTTGGAACCAGCGTAAAAAATCTTGCTTTTCTTCATCCTAAACAAAAGAGAAGTAGCTAAAAGCACGTGTACATATCTTCACTGAGGGCTTCAGCTTGACGTAGTGGGAAGGTCTGTATGCTTCAGGGATTTGGAGACCAAAACTCCATCAAGTTCCCAGATGAGGTTGGTGAAACTGTAGTAATCAGTCAAAAAAACCCCAACTTGTGAGTCCTTCAAGGCCAGAGATCAATCAACTAACTCTAAACAGACTGGGAAAAAAAAAAGCATCCACTCCTGAAAAAATCGTAACAGGGAGAGAGAAGTCTTGTTTACTCCTTGAAAAATATTTGATACCATAGGAGGGCTAAGAAGATAAATAATAGCTCAGTATAAATGCATCATAGATCTAATCCACAAAGTGGGAAATACATTATTTAAGATTAAAGCACAGGAAAAAGGGTACAAAGTGGCCAAGGACACAGTTAAAATGGAAAAGGTTCCTAAAAACTGCCACAGTGAGGCTTCAGAAGCACCTCCTAGTTGGAAGTCTGGGAGCAAACACCAAACCACTATTAATCTGAAGTTTGATCAGTTTGCCAAACAGACTGTGTTACGTGCTTGCCTGTGATAACACTGGACGGGAAAAAATGACCAGAAGAATCCAGGTTTTAACATGTGAACACACATACAGACGCATAGTCTAGAGTCTGTATTCCACGTGTGAGCAGGCCACTGGAAATCTAAAATCTTGGGTGTGTGGGACAGCAAAGGGGCTTTTGATAGTACTACATTGCTGACAAATTATGTTATAAAGCACTTGGCCTGGTACCTCCCACATTAGAGCCTCCACAAGTGAAACTCTGGAAAGCCTATTCCTAGATCCGTGCTGTAAGTCCCAGCCGTCAGTCATGGTTTAACTTTGTATTTGGTTCTTACTGACAACGAGAGATACAAAATCACAGTAATAAGTTAAGCTGTAATATTATCTGTTCTGTGTTTTGGCAATATGTCAGTTTCTGAAACCTATTTCGGTACTTCCCTTGACTTCAAAGGCTTGTACAAAAAGCAAATGAAAGCAGAGTAAACTACAATTCTCCACTGGTAGAGTGGGATTTCCAAAGTTCCACTGAGCAACCACCAAGTCTGGGTACCCAGTCACCTCTGAGACCACAAGGTTTAAAACCAAAGCACTAATTATAACATAGGCTGCATTTGCATTCAAAAGGAATCTTTACCCACAAGCATGATTCAAGTAGCATGTAGGCTGAGACATAATAAGAAAGTGTGGGGGAAATTACATATTGCAGATAAGACCTGAGTCTCCTGGAATGTCATTCAGGAAGCTTCCTTCTTAAGCACTAAATGCACCTCTAAAGTATTGAACTAACAGAAAATACGTTACTCTACTGATAATTTCTGAGAATTGATTGTGTTTGTTGAGTTCATCACAATACTCTGTAGGAAAACTTTGACTAAGTGCACGAAGCCAGTGAGCCAAGAAATGAGATACTATGGGGAAACGGGGATATTAAGAGAAACTATCAGAATCCATGAGGTTGGTTATTTAAATTATTCATGGGTTTCGTTTGTTGGGTTTTTTTCTTCTGATTCTGGAACTCGGAATGCTTCAAACTCATGAGGGAACCTAGCTGGGCAAAACCCTTCTTCTCTGCAAAAAGGGAAAGAAATGTGAGAAAGTGTTCAGATCTACAAATTCACAAAGTCTGCCTTTGGGGTTCCCAACGTGCAGGCTCAGCAGCAGCAAGCATTTTTAGAATTTTTTGCCAATTTTGCATCAGAAATTGAATGGCCAAACAAACTTCGACAAATCTGATTTAAAATCTTAAGACATCCTAAACCTTTTTTGTAAAACTGAATAAAGCAGTGGGAACAGAGCCATTACAAAGACTGAACTAATTATACTCAAAGTTAAAAAGACACTACCATGACTGGGATGCTGCCATTTGTAAGGCATTTTTTTCTATCGTACTGCTCTAATTCTTGTACCCTACTTGTAATTGCATTCCTTCCCCCTACCTTTAAAACTTGCGAGAAGTAGTAGACAAACTCTCTAAATAAACCCATGGTAACAAACTAGCTTTGCACATGTAATGGACTAAATGCTCCACAATGATGGATTTCAGTTTCAAAGTCCCAAGGCATAAGAAAAACTACTGTAATTTTTGGAAAATAAATTTTCATAATACAGTATCCCTAGAATAATATCCTACTTACACAATACGTAGCCTTGGAAAGTTTACAGAGGTTCTCTGCTCTTTTAACTATGAAATTTAAATACCTTGGTTGCTCGGATAAATCGTGCTTGCAAGCGTCTTCCCAAAAAGAGCAGGTTGTCTACAGCCGAAGGAAGAAATTTCTTGTAAAATTCCTCAGGATCTTTCACCTCTAGTCCTACACAACAATGACTGAAATGGAAAGGGAAAAAAAAAAAAAAAATCAACCTGAATAGTCGAGGGCCTGTTTGAACAGCTTTGAATGAATGTCATGTCATCAGAAAAGAAATGCTTCACTGGCATGGGACAATTCAGGACTGAACAACAGTTAACTGCTGTGACTGGCTCCAAGGTAGCTGCCTCAAAAGGAAGAGGAATCACTGCAGGCTGGAGACAGCAAGTATATTACTACTGACTATGGCATGTCTCAGTTTAAAACATATTCAAGGCACTTTCTCCTTTAGCTTCATAGGATCTGCTCAGGCTTGTTCCACATGCTAGGGAAGGGCTGTGATGGTCATAAAGAGAGAAAAAAAAAAAAAGGGCAAAATAGAAAGGTAGACAAAAACCTGATAAAGGAAGCCTGATGATGAAGGGGGTGCACATCAGGCAACGAAAATACGTATTAAAAAAATTACCACAAAATCTTCAGCAAGTCTGTCTACAACTTTCCTCTAACTAAGGAATACATGTGGGCTAGAAATCAGTTCTTCAGATCTCAGTTTTCTTATTTACTCACCGCAAACACATCGGTCATTTCTGGAAGACTTTTTACAAGAAATTGCACGTTTTACAACTGGGAAGTTTTTCAATTCTGTACTCAGCATTGATACTAGTGCGACAAAAGAGTCTTCCTAACTTTTTATGAATTTTGCTTTCTGACGTCTTATCTAGGCTTTGTTAGATTTTTGTGAATGCACACACATAAAGCTTTGCTTACCAAAGCCCTAGGAAAGCAAATTCCAGGCATGAAGCTGAGATTCATCTAGTTACAAAATGACATTTTTAGAGCTAAAATAAATTTCATCTTTCTCTGCAAACTGAAATAGCTTATAGGGGATGATTTAAGTATCACACAACTCTGGTGATAAATCTTGCATCTCTTAGTGAAATTCCTGGCATTAAAAATTCATAGTGCAGATATGGCATAAATAAGAGATGGTTGCCTAATTGCTTCATGCCTTAGAATTTTGCTCCCTAGTTAAGCCAAAATCAAGTACAACTTGGGGAAAACTTAAAACTTATTATTTTTCCTAACATCAAAAATTGAGATTGGATCACTGGAGACTTGAGTTTAAAGTTATCTTATTTACTAGCTATGAATTAAACTTAATAATGCCATTCTCACAATATCACTACATCAAGCTATCTAGTCTGTATGAACTGTGTCCTCTATTATGTTTAAAATGTAAATAGGTATTTAAAATAGGTATATTAAATAGATACTTAAATAGTCAAGCCAAGCTATGAGTCAATCAGGCTGAAGATTTTTGCAAGATGAAATCTAAGTAAACAAACTGTTTTAAATAACTGCAATTCAAAATTAGCAATTACTAGGTAAGAACTGTGACACTGATGAGTACCGTTCACAAAAAAAGGTAAAGCCAACACAAAAACTGTTCCCACCAAACAGTTTACCCAGCTCAATGAAACACAATGTTAATGAATTAAACAGGACCAATTAGGGTATGCCTGACCCCTCTGCTCTTGACTGCTCCCTGCACTTTAACCCCAGCCTTTCCTGAACAACAAGCCTTGTTCTGGATGGGAGCCAGTGTATTACAGCTTGAAAAGAAAAAGAGCAAGATGAAAGACCAGAAAGAAAACAAGATGAAAACTTCTTAGCAATTTTTTTTTACCTTAATATCTCTGCTAGCTGGGCAGCAGTAGCCCAGCCTCCATGCAGTCGAAAGTGGTCTTGTCTAAGGACCAGCATGCAGTACTGAGTAAGATCATAATCGTATATATCTTGCTTAATTTTTTTTGATTCTTCACATCCCAAGGAAGCATTATTCAAAATTCCTGTGGGAAGAAAGCAGGATAGAGACAGAGGAGCATAAGATTCTCCTGTGCAAGATTCTTTTTTTCTGTCTTTTTCCAAAACATAAGAGGAATATGTGTACACAGAGCCAGGATTATGGTCATTCTAAAAGCGTGAATAACAGCATAAAATATTTTATCAGCATTTTTCACTCCTACAGCTACAATCCATTTGTTACATTACATGAAAATTAGGAAGGAAAGCTAAACTTAGTTTTCCATTTTCTCATTACACATTTAGTAGTAACACACATTACTTGGGACTAGTCCATTTGTATGAATTTCCTAGGCCAGATAAAACCACAACCACTGTGAAACATATAGCTTCCTTATAATTACATCCCAATTTAGAACAAGACCTAACTTGTTTCTGCCATTTCTATGAGCAGTGACTATGTGGCAAAAGACAGGGGGAGTCACACAGGAGCTGGTCATTGCGTTTCTATGTTAAGACAACCACTCCAGCTCTCTACCCAAAAGCACTGGGAGAAATGATCTGACTAAGCATAAGATCCTTGCTCACATCAGCAGGGGTCTAACAAACACGGCGACAGCTGAGAAGGAGAAAAGACTTCCTCTCCATTTGCTTCCCAGCTCCTCCTCTTTATTGTTGCCAAGCTAAATGCCACTCAATACTACCCTCAGGAAAAGCTGTATTATGAACCTTAGAGAGTTTCTAGCCCTGCCAGAAATATTCAGAAAAACCTCCTGTATTTAAGGACACAGAAGGAATAAGGGCTGTCCATACTTCACTACCTCATCTTTTCAGTTTAGAAACGGTATGAATTACCCTTTAACTTCAGAAGTAGCAGAGGGATGTCCTGTTCTCTGCTCTCAGTGACCTGAGCAGCTAAGGCCAGTACCCGGGGGTCTGCAGCTGCCACCCCCGCGCTGGGCGCGTTGGCCATAGGAAACCGAGAGAGGCCCGCAATACCATCGA